AAAATCTAAAAAAAAAAAAAGCTATCAGTGGAGTGAGCCTTCTCGGTTTTATGACTAGAAGGCGGCAGAAAGTGCTAGAAATGTCAGAGCCCTGCGGTCTGGAGACCCAGCCAGCCGCAGCCGGTGGCCGGTGAGCGCTCTTGCTTGCAGGCTGCTCTGCCAGGCTCAGCCCGGGCTAACGTGCTATTGCTCTCCAAAGCCTCATGGGGGGCCCAGGCCACTCCCGGAGAAAGACCCCCTGGCATGCAGAGAGGATGCGGGGTGGCCAAGTTTTCGCAGCCAGTCTGGGGAGAAGCAGATCCAACCCAGGGCTGTCAGCCATCAGAGCCCGCGGCCTCAGCCAGCGGAGGAACGGCCCCAAGGCTGAGAGTGCCGTTCCCCTGCCCCAGGCCCGCAAGGGCTGGCTCTGGCCTGCTGCTGTGCGTGCTTGGTGCCCTGTGGCCGTATCCGCACCCAAGGAATAAGGATGGGGGGGTAGCGGGGGGAGACAGTGGTCGGGATCGGGAGGCTGGATTCCAAGATGTGGCTGGCGTGCGGGCTCTGCCTTGCTCTCAAGCTTTGGGCCCCTCATCCGCGCCGGCTCCCGGCTCCCCCAGGCTCACCGCAGTAGGCGAACTTGAGCGAGAGCACGCAGCTCTCGTGCAGGTGCAGCTGGTACTTGTCCGGCTTGGTGTGGTGTAGGACCTCCACGTTGCTGCTCTCCATGCCCACGGCCAGCCACTCCCCGGTGGGGCAGTAGCCCAGCGAGAAGATCTGCAGGGGGCGGCAGACCGGGCTCAGCTCCTCTGTCCCCCTGACCCTTCCCCCGGGGCCCCAGGGGCTCCTCAAAGGCCCTGCTCAGGGACCCCGAGGGCAGGGGCCCACCGCTCCCACTCCCATCACATCCCCACGTGCCATCTGCAAGGCAAAGCCCCTCTCCTCTCCCTCAGCCCTGGAATGCCTTGCAGGGGCGAGGAAGTAGAGGCTCAGAGAGGTTGCTGACTCTAGAAAGTAAGCGGTAAAGCCAGCATTCCAACTCCGAGATGGCACAAGCATTTCACTTTCCAAGTTACACAAGTTTCCCTGTGACTTTTGCCTTTCCTTAAGAAAAAAAGTGAATAAAACACTAAAATATTAAATATATAGTTAAAATATTTAAATAACACAAACAACAATGGAAAATAAGGCTACCTAACATTAACAGAGTATCTTCTATGAACCAGGCTACGGCTAAGGCTTTTAGAGGGACCGTTTCAGGTGCTCACACCAGACCTGCGAGGTAGCTACTACCGTGCCCATCCCATGAGGGAGGAAAAACACCGGGGCCAAAGTGCTCAACAGTAGCGTTGCTGAGAATCAGTTCTGAGCAGTTGGGTCAAGTACATCCAACTCCAGGGCCTTGTCGGTTCTAGTCTATTGCTGCCTCCTCCAGGAAGCCTTCTGAGGTAGCTCAGGGTGGTCACAGGTCCACTTGCAATGACCACCTGTGAGGGCCCCCGTGTCCCCTGACCCAGCCAGTGGGACCCCAGAAGGGAAGGGCACACGCTGGCCTTGGGGAGGGGAGGAGCACACACACCTGGGAAGTGAAGTCATGCTGCTGCAGCTGCCGGCCCTCTCGCAGGTCCCAGGAACGCACGGTGTTGTCCAGGCCTCCAGTCCACAGCTTGGTGCCATCGTGGGAGATGTCTATGCAGCTGGCCCCGTCCGTGTGGCCCTGGAACTGCCTACAAAGGCCAAGCAGGGAGAGGGGGTGAGCCCTCCAGAACCACCGAGTGCCGAGACCGGCTGTGTCTGAGCAGAAGAGGAAACGGAGGCCCAAAAGGGGGTGGCCCATGCACCCGCGGTCCTCTGGTGAGCTCACAGCAGAGCCGGGCCTCCTCCCGACAGCCGACTCCGGGGCGGGCACGCCGCCCTGCACCGCCTTCACCATGCCCGCTTCACACCGGGGACACGGAGACACGGGCGCGGAGTGACCGGCATGGGGTCATTATGGGGGTAGGATTCCCAGGGGGCCACCGCTCCCGAGGCCCCACGACAACCACCAAGTGACACTGCCCCCGACCTTCCGGTCCCGATGCCCTCCTTCCTCAGTTCTCTCCCTCTGCTTGTCTCCGACGCCCTGAATTCCATGCTCCCCTCCCCCCGGAGCCTTCTGCAGGGGAGCCCTCCATCCCCTGCCCACGCGGAGCACCTGACCCACGGCTGCGCCCTCGCACAGGGCAGGCCTGGCTGTCTCCTCACCCGGGGGTCCTCGCCCACTCTGATGTGGCCACCCCACGGCCAGAAGCACCCCGGACGGGTCCCCGTTACGACCAGCGCGACCTTCCCGAGGACGAGGCTCCCCTGCTCCCTCGCACAGCCTCACCTGACCAGGGTCTGGTTGTGCAGGTCCCACACGGCGATGTTACCGTCGCTGCAGCAGGAGAAGCAGACTTTGGCGTCGGGGCTGATGGCCAGGGCGTAGCAGGCAGGAGCCGAGGACGTCAGCTCGGCCTTGATGCGGGGTGTGGGCGAGGCTAGGTCCCAGATGGTGAGCGTGCTGGCCTCGCCGCCCACGATGAGCGTGCGCCCGTCAGGGAGCAGCTTGCAGGAGCGGATGTAGTTGTCCCTGTTCTGGAGGGAGAAGGGGCAACATGGAGCTCTGCCCGCCCCTCCTCCCAGGGACCAGAAGAATCGCATCCGGCGACACCGGGCGCCCTCGCCACCCTCCCCACCCCTGCTTGCTCACATTCCGCCCTCGCTCCCGGCAGCTGCCAGACCATCCCCTCCCTCATCCACAACCCTTCAATCTTCCGTGCATTTCTTCACAAACTCCGGGAAGCTCGCTATCTCCACTTAGGGATGGTAAGTAAAGCCAGGGCTCAGGGGTCAGCCAGCCTGCTCGGCTGCCCAGCCAGGCTGCCCCTCGGCCGGCTGGAGGAGATGCCTGAGGTCCTGGGGCCTCACCAGGCAGTCCAGCTGGGAGATGGGGCTCTTGCTGCCCGGCTGGCTGATGTCCCAGATCTTCACACAGCCCTTGCCACCTGTATAGACGTGCCGTGTGGGGTTGCTGATGGTCACGGCGCACACCACCTCCCCATGGCTCAGTGTGTTGATCTGCCGGGCATGGCGTGGGATGCCGGGGCCTGCCAGGGCATCGTGGGGGAAGGGCACGGGCTGCATCTGCCCATCGGCACTCACGTGGAAAGAGTACGCTCTGAAAGGGAGAACCGTCCCTTCCATCATCCCCAATCCTCTCAGTTCCCACGAGTCCTCCCAGGTCAGACGGCACCACCCTGACTGGCCCACGTCCGGGCCCCACCCCCAAATCTTAGGGAACCCAGTCACCCCAACCTCCCTGGCCTGGTTCTGCCAGGGTAGAGGACTGCTTAACATCCTAGGCCTTGACTTCTGCTCCTGCTCCCATATACCCTTGGCTCCAGATTGCGTTTCCCACCATCTATAAATCCCCATGGAAAGGGTTCAGCTTGAATGTTACCTCCTCCTTTACAAGCCCAGGGGTGACAGGGAGGGAAAGAGGTGTGCCCCCCCCAGGAGGAATCACGGAGTACACATCGTAGCCGGGGGTGAGCCAGCACGGTCTACCTGCTGTTCTAGGCTGGGGGTGCTTCCAGCAGCTCCAACCCAGCGGGGCTCCTGAGGCCAGGGCCGCTCACATCATTTGGCTATGGAGGCCCCATCAACTGCAGCGTTCCCCATCCCCAGTTCCCCACTCAGCAGGAGCCCCAGGGCCGGTCAGGAGTGTGGCCAGGCAGCCGTCTCCTGCGGCTACAACCTGGTCTGTGAGTACCTCTAGCGGGCAGACACCTTCTCGAGGGGAGGTCGGCCAGGGCTGGGGAGAGGGGTGGGGGGTTGTGTGCTTTCCCCAGCTAGCATGCAGCAAGCACAGCCAGAACTTACGGTTTCCCACCAGGAATGGAGGCGAGGCTTGAGGGCAAGCCGGTGGCCCTCATGGGAGGGTGAGGGTCAAAACCAACCTGCAAGGCAAGACCAGGCCAGCCCTTAGTGAGGGAGGCCGCCCCGCAGCCCCCGCCCCGGCCTCTTCCTTCACCACTTCCTAGGTCCTGCCCACAGCGCTGCCTCTTCAAAACCCGGAAGACAGAGCAGAGCCTGCTGTCTCAGAGGAAAAACAGGCCCAGCAGGCCAGGTGTCTTGCCCAGGACAGTGGGAGGGACAGCGTGACAGTCCAGACCCACCAACTCTGAGCCAGTGTTCTCGAGCCCCACACCCGCAGCTCTCCCTGCTCCACCAGGCAGAGCTGATCCGGCCCCACTTCATTCTCTCCCCTGGTGTCCAGTGGGCCCATCATCTCAGAGAGAGGAAGCCATCCAGGAGAGAAACTGTCTCCTGAGAAAGAACCCCTCTCTGCCGACCCAAATCTGAACTCATTCTCGGTATAGCAAGCAGCCTCGTTTACCAAACCCAGGCTACGTGGAAGTCACTGGACAGCTTTTGGGATTCCCATCCCCACACAGCCCAGAAAAAGAGAGGGCAGCCCCACTTTCCAGATGGAAAAAGACGGCCTGGGTGGGCGGTGGGGGGGGGGGGCATGCTGAGTTGTATGAGGTCACATGACGACTAACAGGCCAAGTGGGGGTGGGGCCCGGGTCTGCTGACCCCAAAGCCTCTGTCCCGTTCTTTTTCTAATAAACACTCCGCCCCAGAGGCAGCTGCCTGACAACCCCCACCAACTCCCCACTCCTTGCCCGTCCCCCCAAAAGGAGCCAAAAGGTCTACGTACAGCTCCAAAGCTCACCATTGGCGATCGGCCGTAGGCGGCAGCGGCCGCAGCAGCAGCCGCACTCATCTGCGGTGGGATGTTGTGCAGGCCGGCGTAGGCGCTCGGGCTGGTGAGCGAGCCGTTCATCTCGTGGTGGCTCATCATGGCAAAGGGGGCCGCGTAGGAGCTGGTGATGGAGATGGGCGTGCGCAAGGCCGAGGCTGCAAGGAGGCGGGCGTCAGCCAGGGGAGACCCTCAGGGGGAGTGGGCCCACCCCTCCTTCCAGGACAAAGCTCAGGCCGCCAGAATGCCTCCCAGCCCAGCAGCAATCCTTCCTGCACTCGAAAGCTGCCTGCTCCAGGCCGTCCTCTTGCACTGAACCCATCTAACTGGGATCCTGGTCTTCGCGGTCCAAGCAGGTTCAAGCTGAGAGATATGCCCACCTCTTTTTACACAGCAGGACATGGAGGCCCAGAAGGGGGTTGTTGGGAGTCTCAAGGAACTAATGACACACATGGGGACAACCTGTCTGAAGCTCCTTCCACATGCCGAGTCCAACAGTGGCCCCAATAAGCCCTTGCCATCAGTTCTGACACATCAGGTGTCCACATCCTCCTCAAACCTGACCGTGGAGTCCCCCTGGAGGCAGGCCCCGGGACAGCCCCAACTCCCGCATACTTCCTAGTGCTCTGGCCTAGCTGTGTGGCTCCAGCCCTGGCCCGCGGTAGACCCCGCCCTTCAGCACCGTCACCCCAGCCCCTTCGTGCCTACCCATTATACCTATCGGGTCCATGCCTGGAGGCTTGCCCGGCATCGACCGGAGCCCTGGGGTCGTGCTGGTGCCTGGAGTCGGGGCATCGTTCCTCGGAGTAGGTGTGTTGGACTTGAGCCCAGGGGTGGAGGATTTGTCGTTCTGAATAGGGAAGACATGAAGATTCCTTTTTCTCGAGAGCTGGGCATTTGGAGCTGGCCACGACACCCAGTGCCGGCTCCAGTTCTGAATCTTCTGCCCCACGGCCCCTCAATTCTTGCCCAGCCTTATTTGTCAGAGACAGTGGCGATCGTTCCCATTTTATGGATGCAGTAACCGAGGCTCGGAAACATTAACTGGTAGCACAGGGCCCAGCCAGTAAGTGGGAAAGCCAGTATTTGAACTGGGGCCAAACCCCAATCCATGTTCTTTGTAATCCACCCCTCTACCCTCCAATTACGACCACTCCAGCTTGTCCCTTTCCAGAATCTTCTCCCTCCACCCCCGCCTGCCCCAGCCCTCCACTTCTGTGGCACCAGTGGCAGACCCCACATACATGACCAAGGTCTTTGGTCTTGGAGGAAGGTGTGCTGCTGGAGGAGGCTACTGAGGCGGGGCTGGCGGGGGCATCCTTTTTCAGGCCGCGGGCCTTGTCCAGCCCGTTTTCAGGAGGGGAGTGTGCCGGGCTGACCCGGGGCGTCGCTGGGTCCTAAAAGCACAAGGGATGCAGAGATGCACGGACAGCAACAACCAGCCTGGAGTCTTCCCTGCGCTGGGGACGGGCCGGGAGCGCACACAGCTGACGGGGAGAGGACCTGGGCTGAGAGAGACTGGGGGCCCTAAAGTCGGGGGCGACTAGTCCCCAGTGATCTCGTCTCCCCCCTTCATCCCACAGATGGGGAGACTGGGGCCTGGTGGGGGTGGGGGATGGTGACCAGCCCAGGATCGGACACAAGTTCAGGACTCAAATCTGGGCAGTGGGGCCTCTTGGCCTCATGCAGCTCCAGGTCCTCCTTCCCTGCTGAGGCAGATCCCAAAGGACTCACAACCCCTACCCTCAAGATCCCGGGAGGTGGTGGGGAGAACAGAGCTGACCTGGAGGACCAGGGGGAGCAGGAGCTGGCCCTCGCCTGCGTTCTCTCCCCTGGGCTCCCGTCCTAGCAACCCCAGCCACCATGCAGCCAAGCCCTGTCCTCCTCCTCCTGACCAGCCGAATGCCTCGCTGCCCTGCTCTGGCTGCCGGCCACGTTGGATGGAGCAGTAGCTGGGACACAACAGCTCCCAGCCAGGGGAGGAGCCGCCTCAACCCCCCCCACAAACCGAGCACGCTGCAACCTGGGCCTGTCCGTGCTCACCTCGTTGGAAACATCCACCACCAGATCGTCACTCTTGTCCCCGTCACTGTCCTGCAACCGAGAGAGAAGCCAGTCAGGGGCCACCCCCACCAAACCCCAGGCAGAACCTGAAGCACCCCCTGCTTCCACCAGCTGGAATCTGAACCCAGGGCCAAACCCCACAGTCCACGCGCTCTCCCCTCTGGCCCACCGACGTCGGCTGTCTGCTCGCCCAGCCCCCTAGCCCTGTTCCGGGTCACTGCGCTCCATGCCCACTGGCAGCCTCACCCACACCTGCCCCATCACACTTGGCTCCTTCCAGCAGCTTCACAGCCACCATCACGGAGGAGGAAGCGTGCTAGCCTCACGTCATCACTTCCGCCACTCTGTGTGGGAGGGGTGATCGCCTCGTCTCCCAGAAATGCAGCCGAGGCACTCGGGTGACACGTCCAGAGCCGCAAGAGGCAAAGCATGGCCCCCTTCCCTGGGTCTCAGCTCTCATCCGAACAGCCTGGCCCATAGCAGATACCGTGACCACACGGTAGGCTCAAAGTATGGGGGCGTGGGGGATGGCCCCCTGGAGCAGATCGGGGATTCTGGGAGGGCCGTGATGGCAGCATGGGGCCCCCTGGCCTGTGTGGGTGGGGCACCCACAGTTCTCAGGCACTCCCCGTCCTGGCTGTGGCCCACGTGCTCACAGTGTGTGTGTGTATGAACCTACGCCGCCACCCCCCACCGCCCCCCGGCCAGGAAACCCAGCCCACCCCCGCCCGTGCCTCTGACTCACCCACGAGTCAGGCCTGTGGGTTCTCCCACACCCCAGCCCCCACCACCGACCCCGTGCTGCCCAGTAGACGTACGTATCGGCTCAGACTATCCTTCTCCTCTGCTTTCCGCTTCTTGGCTTCCATGCTATAGTCTGCAGAGCCCCGGTGCTTCTCACTGGCCCGGAGGCTTTCAGAGGGCGACACGGAGTTATTCTGGAAACCAGAAGGAGATTCAGTGTGAACATACCATGCACACCGAGACATAAGCTAAGCGCAGGGGTCTCAAGAGGTCAGTGGAGGTGTTATGTGTGTCCTGCAATCCTCCACTCCATCGGAGCCTTACCAGGGAAGCCTTCCCAGCAATCCAGTCTCTCTGCGGGGGAACCCTGGGAGCACAATTCTCTTTTGTAGCCACGACGCTGCTATTAAGTAAATAGGCTTGTACTGAGCTCTCTGCCTTCTGGCCTGTGGGACTTTATGTTCTAGGAGGGCCGGATCACCCCTCCTTCACCGCCCACCTTGGGCCAGCCATGCACATTTGCTCAAAGAAGGGATAAGCAAAATTTGCACTGAGTCTTGAAAGATGGGTCTCAGAGGACACACAGGGGCCACGTCCAATACTTTCATCTGCTGATCCCGACTGGAATGGAGAGATTGACAGGGAGGGAGGACGTCGGGTTGCCAATAGGCCTTCTACGTGTAGGTGGGCAACTTGGCGTTTTGTATGAACGTCCTACTCCTCCATCACCGGGTCTCAAGCACTTCAGAGAAATAGCAGTGTTAGAAAGAAACAAGAATTTCAACTTCATGAAGCCTTTCCCTCTGCAAGGTGGGAAAAGGCATAAGGGCAGGTGGAATTGTTCTCTTTGTAACGATGGGAATGCAGGGGCCCTGAGAGGTTGGGAGACGTGCCCAAGGCACCCCACGGGAGGCAACGTGAAGGAAACCCGAGCTGCTCAGGCCTGGAAGGGTCTAATGAATTCTCCCTTCAAATTCCAAAGCAAGCAAGCCCAGCAATAGTTTGAAATGCAAGGCCTGGGAAGAGCAGGGCCGGGCCGGTAGACCAAGCTGGAACAGCACGGGCAGGCGGAGAGCATCCCACAGAGGATGGGGTCCGGCTGACTCGGGGCGCTAGCGGTGGCCAGGAACGCTGGCCCCCGCGGTGTGGCTGGTGGCACCGGGCTAGGGAGCAGGGACGGAGGATCTACCTGCAGCAGTACCCGCCAGAAAACCTGTGCCCTCCGGGCCGGGGCCGGGACAGTATCAGAACCGGCTCCCCTCTAGGGGGCTGCTGAGGTCTACTCCTTTCTAAGGGACCAAACTACACCTTCCTTCATCACTCAGCATTCACGCCCCGCCTTTCCTGAGCATCCACCCTAGATCAGGCCCAGGGCTGGGTGCCAGGGATAGGGGAAGGAGCCAGACACAGCCCCTGCTCTCCCAGGGTGCACAGTTGGACTGCAGGGCAGGGGAAGTCCAGTCCAGCCACATCCCCATGCAGCGTGGACGTGCAGGACACGGCCATGCGGGGACACAGAGGGCCGTGGGCAGAGGACATCGAAAGGCGGGGGTGGGGTGGGGCAGGAGGGAGGAATGAGCCTCCACTTCACGTCTCCCCCACTTTCTTGGAGACCAGTCCCTGGCATTTGGGGGGGCGGAAGGGGAGGACAGTGTGGAAACCACAGAACTTCATTTCCTTTTCTAAGCTGGTTTCTGGGCAGCCCTTCCCTGCCAAGTTTCTGCCTGAAGCAAATTAAAATGGCAGAGTTATCAAGCCTTGAAGAAAAAATGGAGGGTCTAATGGAAGTGCAGCTCAGCCTTGCCCACAGCCGTGCGGGAGCGGCGGTGAGGCGCACAGAGTCGCAATTCAATTAGCCGCTGCGAGCGCCCGCAGAAAAATCAGCGGCATTTCATTTCCTCCGACGGCCACCCTGCGCTAAGCAGCGAGGCTCCGGGGCCCTCTCCTCCAGGGTGGGCGGGCGGGCGGGGAGCGGGGCGGGAGCGGGGGGGGGCGCGCGGCTGCTCGGGTTTCTCCTTGCGACCCGGTACGTGGCTCGGAGAACAGCGAGCTCTTTCTTCTCCTGCAGTCAGGCTGAAAACCCTCGCTGCTACTGGAGAGAGTCATGTCAGGCATTTAGCGGCATCGATCCAGCCCGCCTCTGGCTGGCAGGCGGCCAAAAAACTAAGTATTTTTTATTGCTTCGGCGAGGCAAGGAAATATGAATGAAGCTACCTCTAATTGGACTCCAGACTAACCCCTCTGGGACAGCTTCCAGCCCGTGCAGCCGTCCCCCTCCCGCTCGTCCGCGGCCCTGTCCTTCCTGCGGGGGCCTCATCTGTTGACAACCTGGTTTGCAGAGGGCTGCTCGCTGCAGGTTGCACAGCGTTGGCCGCCGCAGCCACAGGCGGACAAGCCCTGCTGCCTCGCCCGCACCGGGCCCGGGACAGATGGCGGCTTGACGCCTTCCCACCGACTCCCCTGAGTCTGCCGTGCAAGGGTGTGGACCAGTGCTGCGGAGTGAGGAGCTCAGCTCTTGGGGGGTTCCCCGGGGGATTCTTTTAGCAGAAAGCTTTCGCAGACTGGGGCACAAAGCCAAATGCAAACAGCAATGGGGAGGAGGACGATGTGAAGACAGAGGGCGTCGGGCGTCAAACCCTCGTGTCACTCGGCAGCGGGTCCTTGTTAACCGGGTCACCTCCCGGATGCTGGGTGCTCTTGTGAGGGGGCTTCCTGACTAAGCGGGGAGGCTTGGCTGGGCAGGAAGATGGCCGTGGCACAGATACAGAAACTGAGGCTCAAAGAGGCCAAGAGAGCCACCCGGCGTCCCATGAAGCCAGGACCAGACCAAGGCCTGGAGGGGTCCAGTCCACCCTCCACTCCTATCTAGGCCTACCACCTCTCCAAAAATGCCACCTTCTGAGGATCAACGCTAAAGCAATCAAAATGGATTTTCAGCTTCAGTTTTTCCTTTCTGATATACTGAGCCATTGCTGGGCCCAAACGTGCACCTGGATTTCTGAGCACGTCGGCAAGTCGAGAGGGGACGAGCGCACTATTGCTAATTGGGATCAGCCTGGTGGAGGGCTGGGCGGGAAGGGGGTCGGGATGGAGCTGCCCGAGGAAGCTGCCGTCTAGATGGTTAGTTAACTGCCTGACCTTCCAAGTCCTACTTAACACGAGGTAATAACCAAAGCCATCCTCACAGATTAGATGGCCCCAGATACAAGGACAGCGATGAGGAATGAAATAGCTTTGCTAATCGCTGGAGGATTTTTTTTATCCAGACTCCACTGCGCTTATTCAGAAGGCTTATTCACTTGAAACAGAACCTCTGAGCCTCAGTGTGATCAGAAAGATTTACAACAAATCTCAGAGCTGGCAGACATGCAGAATGCCTGGCCTTAATGCTTGCTTGCTAGCACTTTCCTAAACCGAGTTTAAGCCCAGAACACAGAGGAACCTCGGGCGTTCGGAGGAAGGGAGGAGGATACAGAATCAGACAGGGGACAGCCAACTTGGGAGGAGGGAAGCGACCCTGCCCAGGACACAGGAGCCCCAGGCTGCTTATGGAGGCCCGGTGACTCCACAGACTGGCCAGCTGACCTCTCTGGTTAATCACCACTCATAAAAAAGAGGGTTAGAGCTCACTTAAAGCTACTCATTTGCCAAATGATGGACGGAAAGCCTGGAGAGACCCCCCCACCCCAGGATCCCACCTGCTCCGCCCCCCGCACCCCAAACACACTCCACACGCTCCAGAGTGCTGACACTTACCGCGCTGGATTCTCTTTCTTTGGGGACGGAAGGCCCGGACAGGAGGAGGGTCAGGCCCCCCAAGAGAAAAAGACAAAAAAAAAAAAAAGGAAAAAGGTCAGTCTCACACAGCTGGCTTTTATGCTTTGCTAGTGGACGGGTTTTAAAATGGGCAGCAGGCCTAGCTGAGTCACTTGGGGTCAGCCAAGGCAGGGCCATTAGGTGACATTTCCTACTCCCGCAAATTAACCGCCCCAGTCCCCCACGCTCCCCCTGGCCACCAGTCCTGTGTGGGCCGGTCAGGGGTCGCGGGGTGGGGGCTGTGGCCCTGCTCTGCCTGACACACCACGAAGGGCACCCAGATCCCTGGTCAACACATTTTAAAGCCACCAGCTTGCAAAGGATCTGGGTATTGAGCATGTTGTTGTTTAAAAGCAACTGAGGGAGTGGGTTTTGTTGTTTTTTTTAACTAACACCATTCTGTGTGTCTTTGCGGAGAAGCCCGGTCATCCTGCACAGCAGCTGAGCACTAGCTCCCTGATTCTCCTCTCAGCTGTGAGGACGCCTCTCCTCTGCCAAGTGCACCAGCCCTCTGCAGGGACACGCAACTCAGTCTCTGCTTCCCACACTCCGCTACTGCCCCGGCGCCCTGGCCTGGGCCGGATACCCTGGTCAACAGCCAAAGGCCAATCAAATCATGGTGTACACCTTCAACTTACACCATTCTGTATGTCAATTCTATCTCAGTAAAACGGGGAAAAAAGTGTCTAAGGGCAGACACCACATGAGTTGGCAACTTTTGGAAAGGGCCTGCCAGGGAGCCCTCACTTTTCCTTCCCTGACAAACTATGCCCTCTTGGGCCCTAGTGGGCGCAGCTTCCAGGGTCCTCACGGTAAGGGCCCAGTGAAGGGGGCGGGCGTTCTCGTTCCAAGTATTCCCGATCATCTCCCTGCAGTAGAGTGATGGCTATCTCTGCTTAAAGACAGTCGACTTGCAAGTCTTTACTTGAGCGCCAACTGTGTACCTTTTCCAAGGCACCTACGCTGGTGAAAAGCCAAGAACTTGGCCTCTGTTCTTGAAGGACTAATGATCTTGGTGAAGACAAGACATTCTCCAGGGGCAGGCTACAAGAGGACAGCAACCTAGGGCTCATTCTTGGGACCCTAGCTCTTCAACTCTCCTGGGAATTGGGAAAAGGTCCCCAGCACAGACTGGAAGGCATCTTGAAGGAATGGGCCTGGGCTGGCCCTTTAAGGATGGGCAGCGTGTAGCTGGGAGGATGGGAGGACGCACGAAAGGTCTTCCGGGCCGGAGAACACCCGGTACATAGCAGGGATTGAGGGGTAGTCATGGAGGGGGGCAGTGGGGCTCCGATTTCCATGTACCAGGAATTCGACAGATAGCACCACATCTTTTGCTAACTCCTGCCCCAGGGTGACAACATTTGCTGTGTCCCCTCGCAGTAGGACCTACAGGACACCCGCCCTGCCCCCACCCCCAGCCCAGCCCTGCCCTCTGCCCCAGCTCTGGGCCGCACCTCTGTGGTCCAGCTCATGGTGGTTCTTCTCGTCCTTCACCGTCAGGTGGGCCTGGCTGCCCAGGGCGCCAAGTGCCAAGAGCCCGGCGCTGCTCCCCGTCACCGGGGGGATCCCTGGGGGCTGGAGGCCTGACGGGTGGGGTGGCAACTGGACCGGGGGGCCGTGCGTGGCGTGGGAGAGGTGCTGGGCCTGGAGCTGCTGTTGCTGCAATGAAGTGGGTGGTGAGCACAGCTGAGCGGGGACGGCGGGGGAGGCCGCTGGGGGGTGGGGAATGCCCCCAAACCCTGTACCCCCAGCTCAGTCCACATGCTGTCTGGCTGAAGCAAGTCTGTTAACCGACGGCAATTTAGGCACAAGACTTTTGTCTTCAAACTCTCCACCCTTCCCACCACCCCAGTTTCAAGACAGAATTCCTCAGTGTACATTTCCAAGCCCGAGATAATGAAAGCATGCATTTAAGAACCAAAGAATCATCAGGGCTCCCTCTCTGTTAAGGGGGATCCATTTTTAAGCGAGCAGTCACACTTGCTCATGCTTGCATGCCTTCCAACATTCGCAGCCAGGGGCTCCCACCCTGCGCCTGTAACCTGGGAAGCTTCCCGAATTCTCAGGAACTCCAGGCTGGCTGGCTGAGCCAGGGCCAGGCCACAGAAGAAAATCCCTGAGATCAAGGGGAGCTTGGGGCCAGTGGACCGAGAGCTGATGTCGGCAGACATCAGAGCGGAGATCAGAGTGACAAGAGTGGAGGTTTGGCACTTGACGGACCAGGATTCAAATCCCGACTCTGGTACTTCCTAGCTGTGTGACTCCAGGCAGGTCACTCATTAAGTGATGTCACAACAACCGCTAACATTTACCAGAGGGCTTACAATGCCCACCCCCCTCTCCGTTGTTCTAAAATCTACACCCACATTAAGGTAACAGTGTGAACGATCCCAGTCGAGGTTTGGCTCCCTGAGGCCCCAGGGACCCCCACCCAGACTAGCCCCAGGGTGTTCTCTCCCCCTCCACATCCCACACCCCAGGGACTGGCGTGGGCAGCCTGGTCCTCTGCCCAGCAGCCGCTACAAAATGCCCTTTGTCTCATCATTCCTAACTTTGCGCCAAGAACCACAGGAATTGTGGGGCGGGCTACACCACGGCCAAACATCCCTGAGGAATGGCTGGGGCCTTGGGTATGCTGATTGCCACCCATGCCAATATCTTCTCCATGAGCACGGGAGAAGGAGACCAAAATTCACTGAATGTCTGAGTGAATGCGCGGCACTTTCCAAATATTCTCTCTGACCCTCCCGGCCCGGGAGGGGGAAAGGAGGGTTTGTGCCCACTTTACAGATGGCAAACTGACACTTAGGGGGCTGGAATGGGCGGCCGGTAACTAGCCAGGTCCAACCACTAGTGGGTGAGACCTGGACTCAAATCTGTCAACCACCAATCTTATCCAAACAGTGTTCCTAAGGAGACCCCCCCCACCCCAAAGCAAGAAGAGCTGCAGGAGTGACAGAGCAAAAATCTGACAAGCTTGCCTGTCGATATAGACTTGGCTTTCGGGCCACACCGGCAGACAAGAGAACACAGGGGGAAGGTCTACAGTTCTGGTTGGAGGTGAGGCTCTAAGAGGCAGGAAGTGTTTGCAGTCAGGGGGTGAGGGCCCTGCTCTCCCCCAATGACCTGCAAACGACAAACCTGGCTCATCTGGAAGTTACTGGTAACCACAGACACCACCACACTCCTGGTCCCCAAGGGCTTTTTTCTCAGCTCTGGGTCAAAGGCTGGGACCAGTGTCCATCACTCAGAGCTGAGACATCCACTGTTGGATGATTTATGGAAGCTGCTGGTGCACCCTGACTCCAGATCTGTCCCGAGGTACCAGAGCAGAAACAAAGCCAGGGCAGGGGACCCCATGCAGAGACCCGCCCCAGCCCGCCCCAGAGATTCAGGCCCTTCTTGGGACACGGGAGCTTACATCTCACCTCCCCTATCCTTTCTTTTCAAAGAAATTATAATTCTTAGGTCTTATTACAAGAAAAAAAAATATATGCGGTCAGAAGATATGAAACATAAGTATGGATTAAAAAGTTGTTCTTTAAAAATTACCCTTCAATCCCACTCCCTAGAAGATTCCACCATTCCTCTCTCTAGAATTTTCCTTTACGAAAAGCTACACACTGTAAATGTATTCTTAAATCAAGAGTCGCTTGCCAACCTCACTACTACTATTACTACTACTACACAACTGGATTTTAACTGAAGACTGTTCTGTACCAATCATCACGTCCTTTCCAACGGCTGCCCATCATTCCTCGGGGTGGGCCAACCATCCAACTGTATCTACACTCCCGGTCTTAAAATGGGTCTCCATCTGCAGCCCCGTGGTTTTAGACCAGTTGCTGGCAGGCCCTTTCATTTTGCCAGTGTTAACTATTTAGTAAAATCCCAGAGAGCAACGAGTGAGGTATTTAATCCACTTTTTTACAGGGCACAGCCAGGTGAGATCCCTGGAGGGAGCAGCGAGGAGGGGAGAAGGGCTTCTGGGAAGCAGCTGCCTGGGTCCAAGGCTGGCTCCCTCCATGAACAATTCTGTCGCTAGAGAAAGAGCTTTACTACAGATTTGTGCCCAGGCAGAGATGCAGTTGAATAACTCCAAACACCCCGATTCTTACCTTACCAGGTAAGCTCTGTCCTCTTTACCCAACCTTCTCGCCTCCCTGCCCAGGTCAAATGCTTCCTCCTCCGGAAGCCCTCCCCATCAGCCTGGTCAGCACAGAGGTCTCCCTTCTGACACCGGGACCAGACAGGCTAAGGTGGACGTCCAGCTCTACCCTTTAACCTTAGAGGAGGTCAGTGGACCTGTCTGGGCCTCCGTTTTCTCCCTGTGCAAGGCCCACACCCGTGATATTACCTGTCAAGGCACAGCAGGTGCTCAGTTCACGGTAGCAAAAACTATGAATGGATCACAAATACAACCATTTCGTTCATCTTTATGGGATGCTTGCCAACTTGTGAGTTCCAGGAAGACGGGGACCTTGTGTTATCCATCCCAGCACCTCTAATGGTGCCTGGCTTGTCTGCTCAGTGTGCATTTGCTGGGTAAATCAGTGATAATGTTGCAAAAGGCAGACATGGAGAGGTTGGGAAGTAAGTCAGCACAGGGGCTCTGTCCAAAAGGGACCATCCACCTCCCAGATCCGCGCCTCCTCTCCAAGGCCCACTGAGAGACAGCTACAACAGTTCGTGGGGACAAGGAGCATCCGTGGAGTGTGTCCTGCTTCCTGGAAACGTGAACCCGTGAACCAGCATCAGAAACTTGGAACAAAGGCTATGGTGGCCTTTCGGAGAACAGCGGCTTTTCAAAGCTGCTGAGCTTCCAAGCCTGGGAGGGTGATTTTCTGCCAGAGCATGTCCGACATCAGTGTCTTCTTTGCAACAGAGGAAAGGAAATTTCCATATACTTCTTATCTTCCAGTACAAAAGCACCCCCTGTGCAGCCAGAAAGTCCCCTGAGAGGTCCTCTGCATGGTTTGAAGGCACAGTCAGGAGTGGCCCGGCGGGCTCCAGGAAGCAAGGATGTAAGCGCCGACCGCTAAGGGTAAGGGCAGTTGCCGGCGCTTACTGGGCGTGGGGTCTGCTCATCACAGTCTTGCTTGCAACACAGAGTGAAACAAAATTTTCTCCCCAGCGGGGCAGGGGGAGCTGGAAGGCAACGATGAACCTGCCTTGCTGTCCCCTGTCACAGCCCCACCCCTCCACAGGCAGGCAGGGCGCAAGCCGGCTGGCCTCGGGCTGCACTTCTAGCCCCTGTGGCCCGTCCCTGACTTCAGAGGACGACGTGCTGAAATATGGCGCCACGTGAGTGGGGGCTGACAAGTGAGGAAACATGGAATCAAGGCCACTGTCCAAGAAGGGACAGAGCTCACCACTTCACTGCAGCCCGTCTCCAGTTTCTACTCCTTCCAATACTGGGATGTGAAAGGAAGTCAGCAACCCGCCCCCCCCTCCACCCCCAACCCCCAAAGGGGCTAACTGCCTAGAACCGAGCCTGCTCAGGAGTACCCGTCCCTCCTGTAATATTTCATGCCATAACACAAGCATGTCAAAGCAGGTGGCCCGTGGGCTCCTAAGTGTGTGCCTGTCCTCCACGCGCGGGTCAAGTGCCTGTGGCCTGAGCTCAGAGGGTAGGGCCACTCACAGGAGAGGCTGCTGGGGAAGAGCTCCCTCGCAGAGTAACTGGATTATGCACATCACGCTGTAATGCCTTTGCTGGCTGATTTAATGCTTCACTTCTCAGGTTCATGATTTGGGTTAAACTTAGTGACGTCGCCCACGCATTTCCAAAGCCCAGACCCACTGAGGACACCCACCAGAGGAAGCCCAGAGTTCTGACTGCATAAAATGGACACTTCCTGCCCTCCCGGAAAGGGGAGAACAGCCCTGGGCCTTCCCTGGGCCCTGCCTCCTCACTCGGCTGGTGGGCCCCGCAGCTCGGCGCACGCTCTTTAATAGCTTGTAGAGTCCCCAACAACCCCTGCTATCCTATTTCGGAGGTGCGGACAGGCTCGGGGAGGCAAGCAGAGCCGGCACACCCGCTCCCCACCACGCTGCCGCTGCCGGGCTGAAAGAAACTCATGCGTTCTGAAGCACGCCCTCTTCACCTTCTTCCTCGTGGAAAACTCAGGCGAGTGAATCCTGCGCGTCTACACCCTGGAGTGAATGCAAGACCCTCGGGTGCAGCTTCAAAATACTGTGTCGTCTGTGACAAGCTACAGTCTCCCTCTTCCTCCTCCTCACCACCCCCACCCCCAAAAATCAAGTCAACACTTTATAACATGTCTTGCACTAATACAGTTCCAAGGGAATGCAGACCAAACTGTCAGCGGGCAAATGCGGTAAGAGCCCCTGCATCCATCAGGTTCAATGACCTTCGGCCAGCACAGAGCAATGTAAAAGTATTCTGGAAATGGCTGCGAGGTCAGCTCACAGGGTCTACAATCCGCCCAGGGATGCCTTCAGCTAGATGCTGCTCCAGGGACAAACCCCGCCCTCAGGCACAGGGATCTTGACTCTCTGAGGATCCCTCTCCTAGTAATGTGGATCCAAGAAATAGGGCCTAGCACAGTACGGGGTCTACGATAACGGGGCCCTGCCAGGCCCCGGCTGGCACACAGAGATCTTTGGGCCCGTGTTCCCTCGGGGGAATACTTGAGTTCCCCAGAAAGGGGTTGTGCTGGGCCAGCAAGCCTGGGCTCCCCCCATCTGCCCCTTCACACCAACCTGATGGTGGTTCCGAGTCTTCCTCTCCAGGAGACCCTAGAAATACTCTACTCCATGTGGGAAATAAGCCATGACAGGTGCCCACAGCAGATATACTGAACTGTCGAGCCAAGACACGACCTCGGAGTCCTTCAACCCCATGCCCAAGACAGCCATGAACACCAGACTGAAGCAGGCACACCATACGAAACTTACCTAGCCCTCTTCCGTCTTTTCACAACTGGAGAAACTGAGGCCCGGAGGCATGGAGGGCCTTGCCCAAAGCCCTCCTAATTCCCGGACCAGGAGGCTGGGCTACTTCTCCCTCCAGACGGGCAAATCCAACAACACCATGGTGGGGGGGGGGGGGCAGCCTTCCCTTCACCGCCCTTTACCGCTGGGGCCAGGACCCCCACCCCCCGCCTCTACCCCAGCTTCCCCAGTCAGCTCAGGCAGCCAGCCCGCTCGGCCCGCTCCTCCCCGGCGGAGTGCAGTCAGGCCTGGCTCCCCAGCGCGAGCAGGCCTCAGCTGTCCCCAGTTCCTGCCTGGTGAGGCTCTGTCAGGTGCAGCGATGAGACGGCCACCTGCTTAATGACAGGGTGCCGGCTGCATTCACTTGGAGCCCGAGAAGCAATTACCTTGGAAATGGGGGTCACAGGCCCCACTCGCTGGCTTTAATTGAATTCCAATATCTGCCTTGAGCTGCCATGACCTAACCTGCAGCTTCCTAAATACTACTTAAAGGAAGGGGAGCTAAGCCAAGCGGCACTTCCTCCCCAATCTCACCCTTTTTCTTAGAATTTAGAAAAAAGTTATTTCCATAAGAGGATTTTTAATTCCAAAGACGGTGGCAGGAGCAGGAGAGGGGGGCCCACTGGGGCCACTGTGCGGGCGGGAGGGCTCGGCCTGGAGAGGGGACGGGACAAGGAGCTGGAGGAGGAGAAATTTCGGAGGACAGAGTGCACGGCACACTTCCCGCCCCCGGGGCCCCTTTCCGCCGCTATGGGAGACGTAAACTGGTCACCCAGGCGGGCTGCCCAGGGAAGAGCCCGGGGCTGGGAGTCAGGCCCCCGGGCCTCTGGCTGACTTTGTGCCCATCCTTGAATCACTGCCCCTCTCTGTGAAATGACAGCATTGGCAAGATCAGTGGTTCTCTACCAGCGGCCATCCCGCCAACCCCTAGGGACATCCGGCAATGTCTGGCGACATTTTTGGGTACTACCGGCATCCAGTGGGTAGAAGAAAGGGTTGCTGCTGGACATCCTATAATGCACAGGACTGGCTCCACAACTGAGAATCTGGCCCCAAACTTCAGAGTGTCGAGGCTGAAGAACGCCGGGGTTGGCTGATCTCAGGGACGACAATAAGCTTTACGGTACTATGGCTTCCCCGTCAGGGAGCTGCCTCCCAGCTCAACGGCTAAAGACACTGACCGCTTACTCATAGTCCCCTTTCTGGACTCTGCTCTGCTCCTCCCACACAGTAGGTGGGGTCTGCTCCTCCCCAGCATCCCCAGGCTTCAGACCAGGCGAACGCTTCCATGCCCTCCCCCCACAGCGTTCGGCAGCCGCCATGGGGCCGACACCAGGACAGAACCGGGTCACCGTCATAGGTCCCAAAAGCAGGACGACGGAGCAGTGGGCCAGCATCCCTCTGCCCCTCTGCCCCTCTGCCCCCAGCCTACCCCAGCACATCTGGCCCAGGGAGATGGTCCACTCCCTCCTTTAACAGATGCAGAAACTGAGGCCCAGGAAGAGGCAGGACCTGCCAAGGTTACACAGGAAAGAACTATAACCAGAATGCACATCTCAGGGTTTCCGCCCCAGACCGAAAACGCAAGAGTTGTCATTTATCCCACCAAGCAGAACATTCTGGGGCCTTCGGTTCCACCATGAAATAATGACATCACATAAGAACAAAAGAGAAATGAGGACCAAGCAGGGTCCCAGAACGTTAGGGCTGATGGGACCTCAGCCATTTGGGCCACTGCTTCCCAAACCTGACTACCCTTCATTCGGAATGATCTGGAAAACTTCAGAAACACAGATTCCCAGCCCCACCCCCAGACCTATGGAAAAGAACTCTGGGGCGAGTGCCCTGGAGTCTATATTGCTCAGAAGCCCCCCTGACCCAGCTGTCTGGGAATGGGAAGCAGTGATCTCACCGACCCCGTTCATTTTAGGGACGAAAGGTAGACAGGAACACCTGAGGCTAAGAGCTTTGCCCAGAGTCACATGAAAAAACTGTTTTTCCTCAGCTGCTTATCTTAAATATCCCTAGCCTCACACCAAAGCAGGAGAAAGATGCTCTGTGAATCCAAGATACGCATTAAAGATGCAAGCCAGATAGAGACGCAAAAGAGGAGAGATCTGGCTTCCTCCTTTCATGGAGGGGTCCGACCAAAAGTGGACCTCACAAAGCACTCTTGGGTATTTTTCCCAGTGCATCTGGGAAATCCCAGCTGGAATTCCCAAGGGCGCACAATCCACACTCAGTCAGGCAGCTCAGTGCATGGCACAATTAGGCCCAAACCCCAATTCCACAGCACGTTTCAGATCAACAGTACAACAGAGACAGTTCTGATCCCAGCTGGCCAAAGAAGGGCAGACCTTTGCCAGGGAGGGGACACAGGGCAGACGGGCCCCCCAGGGGAGGCTTGAGGAGGAGCTGGGCATGAGCGTTATCTCAGAGCCTGCCCCCCTCCATGGTGGGGACACCAAAAGCTGGAGGAGGTTGGGGCTGGTGAGTTTAGAGGTGGAACTGAGGCATGTCAGACAACCCGTCAATTTGGGGAGCAGGAGGTAACTGGGGGGGCTCGTGGGGAGAGAGCCCCGAATGGGTCCAAGCCATGGGAAGCCAGGGCCCTGGGGCCGCCATTCTTTGAGGCCAGCTGAGGTCAGGGTCGATCTCTGGTTATGGTAAATGAGAGGAATAAAAGGGCTATACACACGGTGAGAGGCAGATTGGGGAGTCCACGTACCCCGATGATGGCGTTTAGCTCCGTCATGGTGACCTGCTTGGCCCTCTCCACCGCCTGCGCCACCTGCTGCTGGTGCTGGAGGACACAGGGAGCGGGTGAGATGCACTGCTCCCCGGCCACAGGGGGCACAGCGAGGGCCGCGGGGGACAGGCCGGGACGCAGCCCCCGCACGAGGCAGAGGAGGTCCATGAGACAGGTGGCCCAGGCCTTTCTCCCTTCTGCTTTAAATGCTTTCCAATGAGCATGTATTACTTTTGCAAGCACGACTTCCCACATATTGTTTTCAGTTAAAACAGCAATGAGCCCAAAGACCCGCCTCCCTCTACCACACATACAAAAAAAGTCCTTCTGTGCCTTTGAATATGAGCTGGAGAGGAGAGGACAGTTCTCATTATTAATTTTCTAAATGCAGTAATGGCATTCATCACAGAGAAGGGGGTTCCCATTTTTAGGAGACGCAGCTAGGAATGAGTGCTGAGTCAGGGTATCTGCAACTTACATTCAAGGAGTTCAGAAGAAAAGTATGTGAATCTAGAGGTACTCAATCCCTAGCTAAGTGAAGAGAAAAACGAAAATGTGTCTGGAAAGATAGAGAGAGAAAGTGGCATGATGAACCCTAATAAAAACCAGGAACTTGGTATATGATAATGATGTGTCAACTCAGGCTTGTCAACTGTAACAAATAACACTCTGGTGCGGGATGTTGGTAACGGGGGAGATTTCTGTACCTTCCACTCATAGGTTGCTGTGAACCTAAAATCACCCTTAAAAAATAAAGTCTATTTTAAAAAAGGTATGTTTTTGGTGCGTTCATTCCCTTTGGCCTTGAGATAGCACCTGCTTTGTACGTAGCTGTCTCCCCTACTGGGCTGTAAGCTTGAGGACATCACTATATGGTGTTTTCACATGGACTCGATCATTTACAGGTCGCTACTCTGACTCAGAGACCTAGGAGTCCGGGAGGGAGCTGAGGTGGTCCCAGCCCCTCAGTGGGCACGGAGGCCAGGGCCTACCCCAGCTGGAGGGAGCTCTGCTGGACAGAAACAGGCCCCTCTCAGGCAGCTCACCTGTCTGACCTGCACCAAGGGGCCTCCTTGGAGACACTTCCCTCATCTCCCCCACTAGCCCAGTCCAGGCCTCAGGTGGTGGTCCCTTGGGAGGTGTGCTTAGAAGGTAGTATGACTGGTCATGCCTCTAGGGAGGACACTCTGTCCTAGGGGCTAGGGTCCCCCTTGGGTACTCATTCCCTTTATAAGGTCTGCCCCTCAGCACTATCTGGCCAGGCTTCTTGCTCCTAGACATTTCCAGGTGTGGGAGATGGGGCACAGACAAACAGAGGCTAGGAATGGCCGTTTGGATGGGGGTGGAGGCAAAGAGGGCTCCCACTGCCCATCGCTAGCCCCCTCACAGGCCAGGACCCCCCTCTCTTCGGTCTCAGGAAGTAGCAGAGAACCAGTTTTACCAGAAGAACGAGCAAATGTTCTCTCTGATGTACTGGAGCATTTTCTCTAAATCCTCAGGTTGCTAACTTCAGTCCCTATGAAAGAACAGGGGCTGGGGCTCCAGCAGGACCCAGGCAGCACCGCGCTGCATTGCACTGGAAAGACAAGGAGGACACAGTTAAAGAAGGTCTTACCTCTTGTGACAGAAAAGGCATGATCTGTGCTAGAATCGTGTTCAACCTCTTCGCAATCTCTGTCTGCAAAAGAAGAGAGACAGCGTGAAGCGTAGGCAGATACATCAAGTCGCCGAAATGTCCCACAGGTATCAATGCACTCCCCCAAAACCACAGACCCCCCAGACAGGCTCCATGCCCCCCCCCCTCAGCTGACCCCCTGCCAGAAGGCCTTGCTAAATCCACGGCCCTCCCCCAGCCAGGCTGCCTTGGCTTTGGGGAGCTCCAATTTCCTATCAGAGGGGGGTCTACATGTGTGGTTCAGACCATAGAGAGTCTGCCCACTCTGGACAGAAGCCCTGATTAAAAACAAAGCAAAACGAAAAAGGAACGACCCCACCCCCACCCCCCACTGCATACCCCAGTAAAACCCATTATCTGAGTGAAGTGTTGCCCAATGACAACAGCAGGACAGGTTCTCTGGCTCTCAAAGCAGGTGACACCTTCCAGGGCCTCTTTCAGCCCTCTCCACTTTTCACTTTGCCTCTCCCCCACCAGACGGATCCCTCCCCAACCCAGCCTGAAATCCCACCACGAATGATTCCCATTTTAGGGTTAAAGCAGTGCCTTCTTGAAGAAGCTGCTCAGGAGGTAACTCGTTGGAACCCCAATCCTTCCTAGAAGTTGATCATGAGCTGACCACTTCTCTGCTCCACCCCCAACATGCCAGCCAAGATCATATTTAGATAAATATCAACGACTTCTGCCACCCCTGTCCTATGTTAACCCCCTGATCTTGGATCAAGAGCGGTCTGAAAAAAAAAAAATAGTGCCAAATGGTTAACTGTGTCCAGACAGGAAGGCCTAGGCCCCCTGACAGACAAGGCTCAGGACTGCCTTTCTTATCTCCTGCTGAATCCTGAGGCCGCTAGGACTGAGGTCCCAGTGTGGGCTTCAAAGCTCTCATCAGCCCACAGCAATCTTCCAGAGACAAAACCATGACAACAGCCTTTAAAAATCTCTGATCATCGTCAAATGGCTCTTGATGAGAAATCCTGGTGCACTTAAAAACAATGATGTCTGAAGGCTTAGAAATGGAGCCCAAACCTTGGGAGAACTCCTGGAGCTAGCACCCCACCTCCCTCTAACCCCCAGCCACTAATGAGGACGCCTCTGGTTGGTGAAGAGACAAGACAGGCCATCAACTGGGAACCTGATAGGCTTGTGTGGCCCTACATCCTGGGGCTGCCGGCCACAGTGGCAGGCTCCAACACGGACAGTCTGTCTACTGGGGGCATACTGGGTGGGGACCAGGGATTGCTCCTCTCTCCTGGAACGCTCCTCTCTCCTGGAACACTCCGATCCTCAGGACAGGGCCACAGTTGCCCCTGTGGGCATCTGGGGTGGAACAATTCTTTGTTGCAAAGGACCGAATGACCCACTGAATGCCAATAATGGGTCCCACTTCCAAATTCCAGGGTAGAGAGGGAGTGTTCCCCTAGCTGAGACCTCTGGGCCTTACTGCCCCATTTGCCATTTGGGTATGCTCCAGTAAGGACACTGGACACCAGGGCTTCTCAGCCTCAGTGCTGCGGACATCGAGGCCAGATACTTCTTTGTGGAACGGAGCTGTTCTGTGCATTGTAGGGTTTTTAGCACCATCCCTGGACTTGACCCACTAGATACCCATCATTTATATTGTAAGGAATCTAGGAAGATGACTAAGCAATTACTGTATAAATTATTAATCTAAGTAAGTGGGAAGAGTTCTTCTCCCAAACAGGATCCTTTCTCATTTCTGTTCATCTTTCCCTCGATTGATAGTGGGGAAGGGGAAGGAAACAGGATCAGGGGTGTATATGGCAGGAGTTCTAGAACACTCCGCCAGTCTGCATCTCAGTCCATACCTGCATAGGGCAACACGGTCATTCAACTGACGGATGTTCACGTGCCATATCAGAATAGAAGGATATATTAAAAACAGAAAACAGACATAAACTAAACCAACCAGGCTCATTGGTCCAAAGCGTCTTACCACCAATGACCAGCACAGCAGTGCCTGGCACACAGTATGTACTCAGTAAATATTTAGCCGAAAGAATCTCACTAGCCTCCGTGCATTGATTTTCCAAGGCCCCCCTGGCTGCAGATCTGGGCCTGGCCCACGGTGGGCGACATCTGTGGGAAGGGCCTCGGTGGATGGAATGTTGACATAACAACTGGGAGATGGGGCGGGCAGCAGCCCTTGGCCAACAGGGTGAGGCAGGGCCATGGAGCCAGACCAGCCACAAGCCGTCTCGGTGGGTCTCGCTGGGTGTCCGGCTGCTGCCCCCACCCGAGCCAGGAAGGCAGGCGGCAGGCAGGCTTGGAACCTTCCCAGTTACTTTGGCCTACGCAGCAACTACAGCTCTCGCAACCTCTGGGGTGGGTGGTTATAAAAGGGTTCCCATCTGTTGCTTCCTTCCCCTAGCAAAGAGGTCAAGTGTCAGGGTCTTGGCGGTTCCAGGCAAAAAATGAAAAGTAGCTGGCCTTCCCCTTCCCCATACCCTTTAGCAAACATGTGGCCACAGGCTTCCCACAGGTGGGATCCTCCTGCAGGGTTTGGTCGGGAGCCCAGCATCCTCTGGCTATGAGGAAAAGGGACCTGCTAAGATTTCCCGTAGCTGTGCCCAGCTCCAGGCTTGGCATCCAGGCCACCAGGTGACCACCACTGGCCCCTGAGAAGCCCTGCGGGTGGCCCCGAGCAAGTGCCTAGTCTCACCCTTCCACCCTACTGGAAGCAGTTCCTGCCACCTTCGCCCACCTCCCAATACCACCCACAAACATCCACCGAGGGCCATCAGAACCACTCCACACAGACAGGGAACCTTCTGGAGGCCGGGGCTATGGGCATTCAGGCCCCGTTCTGGGCCTGAACTCAAGGCTGGCCTGGTTGCATAAGACAGAATGACACAGGGTTGGGAGGTGGGGCAGAGGGGAGGGAGGGGGCGCTGCACACTTGGGGAGTGCTTACAGTAAACCAGGGCTTCCCTGTCCCTGGGTCTGGGGTAGGTGGGTGGAGAGCACGCCCACCATGTCCCTCCAAGCTGTCACTGCATGGTGATCGCCTGCCTGCCGCGGAGTGGCACTCCCCTCCCTGCTGGTCTCCCCAAACAGTAGAAGCAGGGAGTGAGCCTTACCCATCTCTCCGTGGGCCGCCCCACCCACCCTGGGAATGGGCTCGGCTCACTGGTGAGTCAAAGAATGGAAAGGAAGACTATCCCCCTCAAGGACTATTCCTTAACATTGATTTTTTGAAGGGTGCTGATCCCAGAGGGCAAGCTCCTGGAAATACAAGCTGACCAGAGAGAGCCACTCTTAACAACACCGGTAATAATAATGATGGCTACCACGCACCATCCCAGCTGTTCCCAAGCATTTCCCACGTGTGAGCTCACAGTAACCTTCCAGGGAAGGCCCTTACCACGACCATCTCCACGATTCAGATGGGGAAACTGACGCTCGCCCAGCAATGTAGCAACCCCACTAAACAACTTCCTACCAAGAAGCCCAATTTCGACATTTTGAGAGAGCTTAGAGAAGTATTTTTGAAAGAAAAACTCCCATCGGGGTTAATCATGGACAGCATTTCCGATTAGAACAGCTGTTAAAACAGCATTTGGTCCAACTCAAACAAGCCCTAAATGTTCAGTTCCAAGAAGGGGAGAGGGGAATCAAGATATGTGACTTCCACAATTGAGACAGGTCACAAATCACAAAATGGAACTAGATCACATGCTGGAAAACTCCTTCTGGCAATCCAGGGCACCGTGTCATCAATAAGGCAGTCGCGGTCCGAGTGAGGCTGGCCTCCATCCTGGCCTCCGTCCTTGCCTCTGAGTGGGTCGCGTAAAGCCACCGCCTTTGAGCCAGATCTTCAGATGTGGACCTGGGAGAAGGTAGGTGCTTGCGCCGGGGAGACGGCTGCCTTTGGAAAGAGGTGTTTGGGGAGGCGGGTGCGGCCTTTGAAAGTTTCTTTTCAAGTGTGGTTCAAAGAAGGCAGCTTGGCTGGTGGGAAAAGACTGTTCCTCAGAAGGAGCTAATCTAGCAGACGCAGACAGAAGCAGTTCAGAGAAATGTGCCCAGAGACCCTGTGCGATTCAGAATCTGTGCTCCCAACTGGGCGCGGGGAGTAACATCTGCCCCGCGTCTCCGGCGAGATTGTTAGGCTAATAAATGACTGAAAACAAGATAGTGGGGGGCAAGTGTAATTTCCCAAGGAGCAATCTGCTCAGTGCGCCTTTGTAGCTCCCGTTCGCGCGATGAGCATCTCAGGAAAGCAGGACCTGCGACCCTCTTGCTGTAAACCGAGGGTCCTTGAGCATCTTCAAGCTCTGCTTCTCCCATCACACTCCAGCATGCACGGTCCGGCTCACCAGCCGGGGGGCCCAGACCCAGGACACCGAAGGAGGGGAGTCGCAATCTGCTCTTGGTCCTCGCCCCACAGCCTCCTGCTCCTGGCCTTCAGCAGCCAGCCAGTCTTTGGCCGCCCTTTTCTTCTTCTTGAAAATGTAGCTGACTGCTCAACCCAGTCCACAGCCACCTCCAACCCACGGTCCCTCTGCTATTTATTTTAAACTGCCCCGTTGTCTGTCCCCGCCAGCTTTCGGGAATGCACACTTCATTTCAACCTCAGCCCAATAAAAACAATGAGAGGGAGAACTCTGCCAGGGGGAGACCCAAAGCCACGCAGAACCAACCTGGCTTCCACCCCCAGCTCTGCCTCCATCTAGCTGTGTGGCTTTGGGCAAATCGCTTCCCTCCTCCAGGTTCCAATTTCGTTGTCTGCAACACAGAGTGGCCAAGTGGTAACTTGTAAGATCCGGGAGCTGTCATTTCGCCTTAGCCTGCTAACCATTCCTGAATGGCGCTGTGACATGTCCTTCCTCCCTACAGCTCAGGAAAAGAGAGCATGGCAAGAGTTTAAAGGGTGATGAGGAAGAGACGAGCCCCGCTAGCTGGGGCTCGGTCCCAGGACCAGGCTTCATAGCACAAATGGTTGGAGAGAGCAGGGACATCCCATCTGTCAGTGCCGAGCAGCCACGGTAGGAAGGGCTCATCCTGCTCGCCGGAACGACAGCTTACTCCTCGAGAAACCTGCGTGTTTGGGGTGGGGACTCGGTCCGCTCTGGGGTTCTTGAATTTTCATCAGGTTTTACCTGGTTTCTCTGACTCAAGTCTTGGGGTGTTCCAAGCGAGTCGGCTTCATCTTGAATTAAAACAAGAGGGGCACGGGGGTGGGGGGAAGAGGAAGTCGGGGGCTATGCAGAAGGAGGAGGCTGCAGCAGCCGGGTGCCATAACCATGAAGTAATCAAATGCTGGAAGATTCTGGAACAATGTGCCTGAGTAATTTTAACTTGAAATATCCCACTGCATGTACCAGGCAATTCTAAATTGATAGGCCCTCAATTATTGGACTATACCATGAAATTCCTTGCCAGGCAGTTTCTCCTCAGACCGAGCTTGGACAGCTCTGAAATAAAGCAAGTGGGTGTTTTATCAGCGGCGGGAAGGAAGTCCAGGGACAAAGAGGGGTGAGACCTCCAGCAAAAGCCGGGACGGGGTTCCCCAGCCCCACTCCAGCCCTGCCACGGGCTCTACGGGAAAAGAGCACCAGTGTCTTAAAGAAAGGGGCAAATAAATGATCCATTTAGCAGCCCAGGGAGATAATGGCCCCTGCTTCTGGAGGGGCTGGGAGGGTTTACATCATAGATCACTCAATGATAGGTGAGCCTCCATAAAGGCCCTTTTAGCACTGACATATTGATCAAATTATATATAACTACAATGCCATTAAATATTTATGCCTTCTGAGGAAGCCTGCTGAATTCTTTATGCCGGGAGGGCTGGATACAAGAAAAGGCCCAGCCCGGTGTGACCCTGAGGATCTGGCTCCCGAGGGAGGGAATGGGACGCTGGCTGGGGCCAGCCTGGGCCGGGCATTCTGCACTAGCCCCCATGCCCTTCACGCAGGTAAGGATGGCAGTGAACATACGACACGCTTGCCCCCCACCCAGCTAAGACAGATGAAAGGCGAGAGGCCAGGGTGCCGGGCTTAGGACGTGACCCTCCACGTGCCACCCTGGAAGGAATTCCACCTTCCCTTCCTCTGCCTACCAGGAATCTCTGGCACTTTCTGCCAAGAGTATAGGGAGTAAGGGAACTGGGAATGGTGAAGGCTCCCAAGGAAGGGGTAAGCTCGTGTGGGGGGAGGGGCGGGAGAGGAGGCATCTAGGCCACTGACCCGGGAGAATGTTGGCAAGGCAAAGTCCCAGGTCTGTCCTGCACTCGGGCCTCAGTTCCCACTGCACAAAGGAGGGAGATTCGAGTGCAGTATAACCAGACCTCTCAACAATGAATTAGGTGCTGTGTGAGAGCAAGCACCCCCCGTCCTGAGGAGCATTCAATGGCCACCGAACCGGGACACAGGGTCAGACATCACTCCAGGGGAGGGACCTGGGCCTAGGTGGCAGCCAAGTCCCTCCCTGGCTCTCAGACTCTACGACTTTCATTTTTCAGACTCTCAATTTCCATCCACCGGGCTTCCTGTTAACAGGATCCAATAATCTTTAAATATTTGTTCACTTTAATTTCTTGGTTCCCAAACACATTAAACTCCGCTTGCCTCCCACCCCCACTCCAGCGGATGGCCCTCAAAGAGCTTGCCTGTGTAGAAAGAACAGGGAAAGCCTTTGCAGATTAGACCTTCCCCCAACACTGCCCATTCATCCCAGGCACCACTAGCACCCCCCCAGCCCCTGACGCCCTCTGTCCCCTCCCTCCTCTCAGATAACCCTCGGCCTCCCTCCCCCACCTTCCCAGACTCCATTGGCCAACTCCCGCCAGGAGGAAAAATTCTCAATTCATCCCTGTGGGGTTGCCATGGCAACCCCCAGCCACCTAATCCCCCTTGGAACATTATGCAAATCTCCCTTTGCCCCTCAACAGGCTGTAAAAGTCACATTACCCTTGCAGAGGCAGCTCGTTAAATTTTGGGGGTCTCCCTGTAAGGTCAGCACTACGAATGAAACGCTGGCTATGACTTTTTAAGAACAGAGGCTCACTGGGAAATCCGGGTGGCAGGAAAGGAAAACAAGGTGTCCAGGGAGGGGACAGGCTGACTGTGGGCAGACACGTTCTAGCCGCCCACCACCGAGTTCACAACCGAAAAGCACGTCTGTCCCTCTTAGACTGAAAGGGTCAGAGGGTCCTGTCTCCCCAGACAAGGATGGCAGGAGTGGTGGCATTTCATAGGCCATAAAAAATCAAGATCGGTTATTTAGAAAAACTTGTTTATGGGTTGGGATGGGACCACCTCCCAAACCACCAACATATGCAACACCTCAGTTTACAGATAAGGAAAACAGGGCCCAGAGAAGGCAAGGAACTGTCCTACATCACAAAGTCAGACAGTGGCAACCAACTCTCCCAGCTCTTGAGCCAGAATTCTTTCCCCTACACCAAGGGTTCACACCCGGGGTGGGGTGGGGGGGCATTTTGCTCCCCAGGGGACCCTTGGCAATGTCTAGAGGACAGTTAGGGGTGTCACAACTGGATCGGTGCTCCTGACAACTAGTGGGTAGAGGCCAGGGATGCTGCTAATCTTGGGGAACACAGGACAGCCTCACCCCAAAGAATTATCCAGCCTCAGATGTCAATAATGCCCAGACTGAGACACCCTGATCTGCACACGGCGGCCACACATTCTACTTAATTCTTAAAGGCCTTGTCTGGGGCCTTCCCAGCCCTGCAATCAAAGTCCTGAAGTACAGGCGGGTCCTGGGGGTGGGCATGTGGGGAGACCACGCCTTGATATGGCCCGGGGGGACAAGTGGTTGGCCCATGAGTGAAACAGACAGAGTTTCTCGTTCTGAACCTGCCCCCGGTCCACCGGAGCCCACGAGCCAGTCACTCACCCTGTCCAGACGTCCGTGCTCCCAGTAGGCAGTGCTCATGGCTGGCATGCGGGGCCAAGCAGCAGCACATGGGAAGGGCTCTGGAAAGCCCTACAACATCCACAGCCCCAAGCATCTTGGCCTCACTCTTTGAGGCCTTGGCTACTTGTGGGACTCCGTCCCGCTGCTGAGGACCTTCCTACACGCAGGGGACTGTGCTAAACAGTCACTGTGCATCCCCCACCTTACATACTCCTCCTAGCACTGCCTGTAACCGCGGGGTCCCACAGAGGAGGCCACGAGCCACGTGGGGCTAGTGAACATTAATTACAACTCAATGTCAAACTCAGTTCCTCGGTCACAGTAGCCACGTCTCGGACGGCACTGCTCTGGCGGGTAGGGGTTCCGATTCTCCCCCGCCCCAACCCCATACAAACTGAATTTCACAGAGGTCCCCCAGTCAGCCCCACATCACACGGCCCGGAAGTCCTGATGGAGGACTCAAACCCAAGGTTGTCTGACTCCCAAGTCCATGGCGTAGCCATCGGGACTTAGCACCTCCCGGCGCCTGGTATTCTGCACGTGACTGCCAGGACGCCCCTCTGAAAACCAGTGACTTTTGATGGAGAAACTCTGAATCCACCACCAGCACAAAGGCGCCAGGAAAAAGTCTTCTCAGGCACGGGCCCCGCTCCCCACCGGGGCCTGGGCAGGGGGAAAGTGAGGGAGGGCCAGGTAGAGGTCCCTGCAGAAGTGGGGTCTGACCCAGGCGAGAGAACTGAGAAACTCAAACAGGCTAAGTGAGAGACGTATCCAGACAGCACCCGTACCCGCCCCCTTTAAGAACCTCCTACGAGCTGCGTACCCCATACAAGTGGCAGGCGACTTGCAGGCCAGCATCAAGCCAGCAACGACAGGACTCTGGCAGGGGCAGAGCTGCTCTCTCCATCTCAGGCTGGCCTCAGGGAGATTCCTTGTTCCCTCTGGGATGAAGTGTGAGGGC